CTTTGCAGCGAGTCTCTTGGAGGGTTCTGCTCAGACTTGGTGGAGACTCACGTCCGAGCAGGCTGGAGCACGCATGCATGAGCTTACAGTTTGGGAGACATTCGAGTCATTGCTTGTCAGTCGCTTCACAGCTGTGAACGCTACCCGCCATGCACGAGACAAGCTCGCTTCTCTCAAGCAGACGGGTAGCGTTCATGAGTATGTGCGTCAGTTCCAGGAGCTTGTTATGCAGATCCCAGGGATTGATCTTACAGAGCAGCTTGATCGCTTCGTCAGGGGTCTCAAGACCCAGACCCGTAGGGAGGTTATCATGAGGGAGCCTGAGACCCTTGATGAGGCTATCCGTATGGCTGACCGGTATAATTCCCTGATCTCTGGCATGGCTTTTCCTGAGTTAGGTAACAGGTTTACAGGGTCTCGTCCTGGGCAGTTTCAGGGTTCTGGTCCTCGTTTTGCGCCTAACCCATTTCTCCCTGACCCGGTCCCTACCCCCATGGAGATCGATGCACTGAACAAACGTAAACCCCTTACGCAGACTGAGCGTGACCGACTCCGCAAGCTCGGGGGCTGCTTCCGTTGTCGCCAGCTGGGGCACATTGCACCAAACTGCCCCAACTACCCACCAGACTCCAGCAGGCCGGCACAGAGGCCCCGAGTTAACCAAGTCGAGCAGCAACCCTGTGAGCAGCCCGATCTCATCGACTGGGGCCCCGAACCGAGGGGTTCGGAAAACTTCACGCCCCAGTAGGTGAACCCGGACCCTCTACTGGTGGCTTGCATGCTGACTCAGGTCGTGACGGTGGTACGGACCGGTCGGCTCGTTCGGGAGCATCTTCGCTTCCTCAGTCCAGTCGCTTGATGTTTCTTCGTGGTCAGATTGCAGGTCGGTCAGCTCGTATCCTCATCGATTCTGGTAGCACTGACATTGTGATGTCTCGAGATTTTGCCTTGTCTGCTGGTATTGCTGTTGAGGATTGTCCCGGTCAGTTCGTAGAACTAGCCGACCGGTCACAGCAACCGGTCAGCAGAACACGTGAGCCCGTACGGCTAAATGTCGGGCCTCACTATTCTGAAGACCTACATTTCACCCTGACGTCACTTAAGTATGATGTCATTCTCGGTCTCCCTTGGTTGGAATCCGGGAATAAACAGGTTGATTGGCACCGGCGTACTATCTCCTTCGTACACGCAGGCC